TCTCCTCTCTCTCTCTCTCTCTCTCTCTCGATCAATTCGCAAACGAAATTTTTCAACGTTTTTTTCCATATCCATATCCCAATGTTCAATTTACATTTCTCATTGTAAACTTTTTTTTTTTTTTTAAAATAGAAATAAGGGAAAATTCGTTGTATTCTTTTTTGTTGTGAAAAAATACGAACTCACAAACACGTACTCGATTCGTCGAAAATAAATGTATATTCATATACATTTCTAACAACGAAATAAGAAATCAAGGAACGGAAATACATCTCTCGATCAATGAAATTTGTCAAAACTAGTCGTGGTAGAAGAAAGCTTGGAGAGAAGAGAGAGAGAGAGAGAGAGAGCTGTCATTGATACGGTCAGTTTTGAGAGAGTAAACTTCGTTTACGCCGGTCAGACGGGTCAGATAATCCCGGAGTGCAGTGTCGTGTTGCCCCTCTTCCGAGCGACACGTTTCTCGATCGAGAACCGCTTTTCCGCTCTCCCTGCCCGCTTTCCAGTCACCGCGAAAATTTCAACCATCCGATCGGGAAATTTATCGATCGGTCGAAGTGGAAAAATCTCGAAAGCTCGCTATGCGTTTAAGCGTTAAATTAATCGATCGATCGATCTTTTGCGATTCGGTGGATAAGGTCGTTCGAAGGTCATTGATACATCGATGCCAATTTATCCGCTCTGCTTATCTGCTCGGAAAAAGAAGGATAAACGAGCATGATTTCTCAAAAGAAGAGGCGTCAATTTTTCTTTTTTTTTTTTTTNTTTTTTTTTTTTTTTTTTTTTGTTTGAATTTTTATTGAAGATAGAAAAAGACTCTATGAATATTTTCGAAATGTTCAGACGCAAGATGTTAATTATATTGCTGTAATTCTTCTTTTAAAGATGTTTTTTTAAACACGATGGTACAATTTTACAAATATTTCGTTTCACGAAATCTAATTTTTCTCGAATGAAATCGATTCATCAAGACGAGAGGAGAGGATTTCTTGATTTCACAAAAAAAGAAAAAAGAAACGAACATTCGTGGACAGGATTTTCTCTTGGAGAAACACTTCTCGTTTCTTCACTGGATCGAGACGTGATTCGAGAAATTCGCGGAAATTCTTGGCTTCCTCGTCGTTTTGCTCAATTAAAGGGGGAATAATACCGGTAGCAGGCCGCGCCTAAACACCCTTCCTTCCGTCTCGCTCGAAAAATTCTGCCGATTCTTCCGATTCCCTGGGATCTGATTTAATCGAGTTGTCGTTGACGCGCTTAATTTCATTAAAAAGTCAAAAACAAAATTTCTCCTGCGAAGATTCCATGATAGATAAATAACATTAAGGAGAAGAGTTGAAAAGAATTTGATATTTTTTTTTTCTTTTCTTCGAATTATCGACCGAGTTCGATCGGTGGTGCCCTCTTTGCTATCCTAATATAATGTAACATAATATAATAAAATAAATATTGGAAATTAAATCTGTTTAGGGTAACATTTGCTCAAATAAGCAATCCAAAATGGCTACTAGTGCTTTTACTTTTTTTATAGATAAGTGATATTATCATCTTTATTGTTTCGTTGAAAAAAAAGAAAAACAAAATTTCGATTCTTCTTTATTTCGTTCACTCTTTGATCTGAATCTTTTTTCATCAGGAAATGAAAATCGCTTTTGATCTCAACGTACAGAGATAACGAGAATTATCGAAACGTCTTACATCCTGCGAATAAATATTCTATTGTCAGCTTACAGCAGGAGTTTATCGATCACTCACCACTACGATACGTTTCACGACCGCCTATAATTCTGTTTCTTCGATTTTTGCTCGAATAATCAAATTCGTTAAATTATTACACATCGAATCTATTTTCGACAAGTTTTTTTTTTATTTATAATTTTTTAAACAAAAATTTTCCCAATTCGCTGTTCCAAAGAGCGAGCGTAAGCGTAGCCTCAAACTTTGGCCAACTCAACTCGGATTAGAAAATTCACGGGTTCGCCGAGTAAAAAGAAACGGTGATGCTTCGCGGTGATGTATCTCGGGTTGGAAACAAGGGCGATTCTTCTTTTCCAGAGGAAACACAGTTGCGACTTGCGACTCGAGACGATCCGCGGGCCGGAAAATCCGGTTGGAAAACTTTCTTCCAAGACGCGTGACACTCGTCCGTGTCAAGAAATGGAAATTTCAGAAATGGAAAAGAAGAAAAAAACAAAAGAAGAAGAAGAAGAAGAAGGAGCGAATCGAAGTAATTCTTACCGACGGAGAAAAGACTCGTTCATACGCTGCCCGATATTAAAGATATTTTCACCAAAAAAACGACTTTTATTTCGTTTAGAATAATTTCAAAGTCTAACGTAAAATTTTTATCTCGTTTCCACGACTGTGTTTCTGTCAGGCTGGCGAATCGAGAAATGGGAACTGAATTTGGGAACATTGTCGGGCAGGAGAATGGGAGGGAAGTTAAGTTGCAAAGGTGAGTTTTTTTCCCCGCAACTGTCGTCCGTAAATGAGGCAGAAACGGAGAGTTGGGAAGCGGGGGGAGTGGTTCAGAGCCGGTCGTAAAATTACCGCAACGTTTTTCGTCTCTGTTTTTAAGATAACAACTTGCCCGAGGAGCAAACCGAACAGCAAACTGTCGCCAACCGTTTTACCAGAGCTTCGAGGATAATTGGGGGGAAAAGTCCCTTTTTTTCCTCCGTATGTATCCGGGAATTTAATAATCCGATCCGATGTATGATGATATTGTACAGTGTAGAAAATGGCGGGTGTGCAAAAGAAACCGGTTTTAAGATTCGAGAGAAAATGGAGAATGGTAGTAAATTTTAAATATTTCAGATAATATCTTTGCTTGTTTTTAAATTAATTTAATTTCACATTCTTTCTTTACACCAGATTTCCTGATGTAAATTTCCTTGTTTCTTTCATCTTCGAGAAAGTGGCAAAATTAAAGACAGATTCAATTTTTCTAAAGATAGAAAAAAATTGCATCCACCAATTTCATTTTCATCAATTCTCATCAATTTTCAAATTCGAATATACGCGTTACTCGGGCTGAAATCTAAATATCCGAAAAAATTGCGTTTCCAATTTTATCTCGACATTTTATCACGTATTTTTTATCTAAAGATTAATCTCGGTGGCGGATCGATAAGGAGGAACGGTGCGGACGCTGATAATGGGTCTGATTAAATCGGGGAGGGGAGGGGAGGGGGTGAGTTTATCAAAGGGCGCCTCGAGTCGAGTAATTAAAGGGGCAAACGATGTAACTGGAAACATTTAAAGTTCCCGGCTGAATTCAACGAGATCCCCGCATTAGTCTCGGCCGGTTATCGCGTCGTCGATTTAATCGCGTTAACTTCAAACGACATCGTTAACCAATGGCAACGCGAGCACCCAAATGTCGCGAAAAACGCTTTGCAACTCGCCACAATTCGGTTTATGATTCGGCGTATCGATATTCCTTCGAGATTCTTCAACTTTTAATTCTCCCAATTTTTGTTCAAAATGTCGTTTGTACTTTTTTAACTCGTCAATGCATGTATGGTTCACTGGTGGAAAGGAATCTCTGATTGGTTAATGCGAGGGAGGACACGCATTTTTCTTTCTATTTATCACATGTACTAATTCAAAACAACGATCTAAACTTCGATGCATTAGAACAGACATGGAATCCAGAGTATTTTATAATATAAAATTATTTTTATTTCTTGCTAATGTGTAGACTAGTATTACGATTTTTAACGATAATTTTAATTTATAAATGTAATTTGAAAAAATTTTGTATTATGTAATGTAACGTCAAAAATGAAAATAATTTTTACAATGTTCAAATTATAGCTCTTCTACTTTTATGTAGCGTGTGGTGTTAGAATTGTCGACAAAGCGTGTGAAGTGGGGATAAATGGTCCTAGCCAAGGACCACCTCTCTTGCCCCTGTGCCGTCCCGCAAGACTTTTTTTTCCACCAGTGAACAGTACACGTTCATCTTCGGTTTCACTTTCGTTGAATTATTATATGATGGAGTGTGAATGTTGATATATTTTTGCAAGTTTGAAATATACAAAATATTTTCTATAAAATGAATGCGCAAAAAGGGAGAAAATAAAGCATTAAGCGATACTGAAAGAATGAAATTAAATTCTCGTTTAAAATTTTCTAAAATTTTGTATAAATAGTCTATTAATTACGAATAGATTCGTGTATTTTTAATTTTCTTAATATTTTATAATAAAAGATAGCACAATTTTGTATATATATAATTTTATACGTATTAATTCAATATCCTTGTGCATACATATATAAAATATACGTAAAATTAATTGCGGAAAGGTGTAGAGTATTGAATGCGAAATATATCCCACTATACACCGTGATCTTTCCTCATAGTTTCGTAATCCATTACGCGAACTATTCTATGCATATATCCTATGATTTACATGTCTATGGATTTATTGGAATTGAAATATGCCGCACACTAGAGGTGGAAACAAATTACGACGTCGATGGAAGATTAAAAAGATTGCTCGACGAGATATAGAGATAAAAATGAAATCCATTCGACAATTTGCAACAACTCGAATTATTTACGTATATAAAAGTATAAAAGTATTTTATCCGAACCTTTTTGCTGTCCATTCCGGACGTCGAGCTGGTCACCGGCTGGTCGAGCCTGAAACAATAGAAAGAAAAAAGAAAATAAAGAAAATCAATAAAAATCCCCCAAAATTTAAACAACACAAACAAAACACGTACGAATACACTGACTGATACTCGATTTAATCTTCAAATAAACCAAATACATCATATTTTTCAGTTTCGTTTCGGAATAAATTATTTATCACATAAATGTACGACATATATATTCGATAAACATTTTTCAAACTCCTTCTCTATGAGGACGCGCATGCGTGTCTCTCGATTTTTCACTCCGCTTGAGAAAAGTTTCCAGACGCGAAGAGAACTTTTTCCCGCGTGAACTCGTAGAATACACGTAGAGAAATTTCTTTCGATCATTATCGCCCATCCCTTCATCCTTCTTTTCCCTCCCGTCGCACTTCTTTTCTCCTTTCCAGTGACGCACGTTACAATTACGCGTTTCGTATACATACGGGGAATCGAAACTTTGAACACCATTTTTAACCGTTTCGTTATGACAGTTCGCTTCGTCGGTCAACTGAAAAGTGCGCGCGCATTTCGCGTGGGTAGCCTTCGCTACTTACATGCCATCTTGGCATTCTCTTGTATCTACAACACTTTTTTAAGCGTTACACAATTGTTTCGTTGTATTTTATACGAGAAAATAAATACATTTGTTGTTTAAGAAAGATTTTTTTATTATAATATACAAATATTCCACTGAAAAAATAGAAGAAACTTGTGTTTCGATGTCCAATATATATTACGCGCGTTCAAGATATACTTTTAGTAGGATTGATCCAATAGAGTCAAGAGAGTACTCTCTACAGGTACGGTAGAATCTTTTTACCGATTGTAATCGGCAATCGGTAATGAGGGGATTAAGCTATTCAGACTCGTCGATTAGAAAGAGTAACTGCACAATATGTGTCGATACTTTGAGTGCAAGCTTCGATGGATCTCGTTGCAGTTTGGACATTTTTGGGATATTTTGTGACACGACGCGATGCCGAATTCTGCAATATCTCGTATAGCTTTCTATTAAACAGGTATGGCATAAAGGTATGTTAATTAATATGATTAGTTTGGAATGTTAAAAATCTATTTCGTAATAATTCGATGACAAATTGAATGTGAAATAAGAAGTCGTACGACATATTATATTATTTCACTCTCCAATGAATCTGAATTAATTGTGTTTACGTAGATATTGTGTATTTGCACATGTCGTTTTTTAATTATATTTTTACACGATAGATTCGCACCTTTCGAAACTTTTCGCCTCGATCTTTTTTTAACGAATGAAGATCTCGAGTTCCTAGATTGAACAACCGAGGAACGAACGTCATCACGGTTCCCTCAAAATTCATCCGCGGAAGGATTATCCTTTGAAACGCGGTAATTGAAATAGAATTTCGTTGGCCAAGTTTTCGGTGAAAAAGAGGTTCGAGCTGCCTGGAGTTCTGCTCGAGTTCTTTCTCGACCGGCAACGCTAACGAACCAAAAAGTTCGAATAGAATTTGAATAAATTGAATATCAGCGAGGAATCCTGTATATTGGATGAGAATTTTCAAATCGTTATCGTTCAAATTATTCTTAGAATCGGTCCATCTGTTGTCCAATCGATCGTGTTTCAATGTCTGCGAACAATTCGAATGGAGAAATTGTCGCATCGAGCTACAAGTTTCGTTATCTTTATGCCCTGATATTTTATTCTATCATTCTAATTGTGCTAATCAGAGTCCATTTTCCACTCTGTGCCGATTATAATCCGAGGGATATCAAAAATTCATAATACGAGAAAAGAGGATGGAATTAATTGACAAATAGTCAATTTTCTTTTTGAAGGTTCTAAGAAATTAACGTATCCGATAATAAAATTGAAAAAAATTCTATAATAAATTCAAAATGCGCGCGCAAAGAAAAATTTCGAAAATCATTTCTCGAAAACCATAGAATAGAATAGAAAAATCCTTATTTCTCGATTTTCAAATTTTCAATTTGCCATCTTCTTACTTTAGCAGTTTATTCCAATGTTTTCCTTAATTTTCCTGAATTAAATTGGTCAAATCGTATCCTCCGTTCCAATTTAAAAATCTTTCACATTTCTCGAAACCAAAAAATACGCCATAAAATAGAAAAATATTTATTTCTCGATTTTCAAATTTTCAACGTAAATTGCTCGCAAGTCTTCGAATAATCAAAGACTGCATAGTTATTTTTGCAATATTTTCCTTAATTTTCCTAAATTAATCAAATCGTATTTTCCATTCCAATTTAAAAATCTTTCACATTTCTCGAAACCGCCATAAAATAGAAAAATCCTTATTTCTCGATTTTCAAATTTTCCACGATTATTGCCTTCGAATAACCAAAGACTAGATATTCATCACTTTTGCAATACTTTCTCTAATTTTACGATCCTAAAAAATAAAATCGTATCTTTCATTCCATTTATATCACGTAAAGAAACGCATGGAAATAATTAAAAGAAAGCCGTGGAAAATCGCGATCTAAAACGCGAGCACGTTCCATTAAGTCGAAGAAAATCATGAATGGACAGTGAACGATTACGAATTGAAAAATTGCCACGCTATTACTTTCATAGCGGCGCAAAAAAAGTAAGGACGAATGGTCGAGGTCTGTATTGTATTTGTGCACGTAGAGCAATCAATCAATATTTCAAAGGCTTCGCTGCTCGTTAAATCGATCCGCTTTTCTATTTCACCGTGAAGACTCGATATTGAAAGATCTTCGAAACGCGTGTAAAAATATTTTTATTTTCGTGTATAATATATAGTTGAATGAAAATAAATGATTGAAATTTTATTTTATTTTCCGCGAATCAAATAATATTAAAATATAATCGACAAGTTGTAATATTTTCTAATGTTAACATTAAATTATCAGATCGCTTTTAATCGCGCGCTTATCGAATGGAATAATCGATGATTCTTCGAGAAAGAATCGGTTCTTTAAAAGTTAACGTCGAATTAAGTCAGAATCGTTTAAAAGAGATTCGCGGAACACCGCGAATTCTGATACTTTGGAACGTAAAAATATTGTTGAAAGTAGAAAAAGTAGGATCCGAAAAAATATCACGAATTTTTTTCACAGAGGAATAAATCTGTATGGTGGGAAAACAGAAAGATAGCCAATAACCAAATATTTCTTTTGACTTTTCAACCGTATAGACGATAACATTATAAAATGATTACTTTCGAATTACCATATATTGGTACGACTCGCTTGTATCTCTTACGGATTTGTAAAATCGAACTTGGTATATTGATATTCCCAAAAGTGTAGCGCGATGAGAGATGAAAATAGCTTTTCACTCGTTTCGATGCGTTTCGAATAATTCGAAAGCAGTGCGGAAGAACGGGTGGCAATCGTATTTTCCGAACAGCTAGTTCGTTTTAATGGGCCACCATCTTTGTTTACCTCTGCCTGACAAAAACGAAAAAAGAACTGGTCGAAATTCGACAAATAATTGTGTTTTGAAAATTATTCAAAAAATGAAATGATACTCGTTCCGTCCAAGCGTCGAACTTCGAAAGAGAAAAAACAGCATTATTGCTCGCCACGTTTCGAAGCGTTTCGTGCTCCATCGATCAACGACCGATTATTCGTTTGTTTTGCGGTCAGAGACAAATTTTGATGTTTAAAAATATCTTCAAAAAAATTAAATTCTTCGTCAAAGTCGAAGGGGAGATTAATGGAATGAAATAAATTCAAAATTATTAAGCATCAACAATTTAGCAATTATTGACAATTGTAAATCGAGATCGATAATTGCCATTGAAATTTCTTTAAATAAAGAAATATGATTAATTGTATTGGATACGTTTAATAAAGAATTAAAAAACAAGAGGAAGAAAATAAGAAGGCAAAGTTATATATATATACGTACTTATCTCGAAGACATTATATACGAAACAATGGCCGAAATCTTCGATTTCTTTTCGTCTCGCGAGAACTGGGACGAGAAAAGAGGAGGAGAAAGAAGCGTAAAAAGGGTCGTAAAACACGTCGAAATTCGACAATGGCCGTGGTGAGCGATTAAAAACGTGCTTCGCGTCGTAAACGCGGAAGAAAGACGGACGACGAGAAAAGAGAAAAGAAAAAAGAAAAAGCGAGAGATCGAACGAGACATGTCATTCCTCGCGGAATGATGAAAATTCTCGTTCCTTTTTCCATCGAATTCTTCTATGACAAAGTAATAAATATCGAAATAAAATATTCCATCCATCCTTTCCTTTTCCTTCGCGCTAAAACGAGACATCTCTCTCTATCTATCTCTCTCTATCTCTCTCGGCTATCTAATATCGCCAAACCTTTTTTTGCCCGTTTAACTTTCGACGACGCGAGTTTACGAGTGTGCAAAAAGTGTGTTGTGTGAGACATGCACACACACATAATATACATATATATATATATATACACACGATGGAGGCCGGTCAGTGGATGCTGCAACCGTCGCGACCCGATTCCCAGAACAATAGAAGCCGACGTTTTTTACGCTGATGTCATTGAAAATTTATCGAGCGCCTCTGCAAAAATGGTCGGGCACGGAGTGGAGACGTATGCGAAACGTATGAAAGGGAAGAGGTTCTCCGCGATGCTCGTCCGCAAATTGCCGGATACCTCGTCGTTCTTTCTTCGTTTACACCGACGTACAACGTTTTTTCTTTTTTCTTTTTTTTTCCTTCAACCATCTCACTCCTCTTATTCGAGAACAGATGCAACGAGCGGACGCTCGATAACACTACAGAGGAGCTACTTATATTTGATGAAGAGCGCTTCTTCTTTTTCTTCTCCTTCTCCTTCTATTTCTCGGATCCTTTACTATGATTTCAAAAGTGCGTAAAATTCGAAAGGGTGAAAGGATAAAGAGAAGGCTAGAATTTGAAACTGTTAGAATTCGAATACGAAAGAGTTTGAAAGGGTAGAGAGCTTCAAAAGCTAGAATTTGGAACAGTAAAATTCGAAAAAGTAGAGTTTGGGACGATAAAATTCGAAGGAATAGAATTC